TCTCCTGGCTGTAGAATTAGAAAGACATTTCACTGAGAATAGTTTAAACTGTTTTATGAATGGATTTATTGTAGTGAAGCAGGTGTTTCAAAAGGCTACTGGTTTTTACTATAGCTGGGATACCTGTGCTGAGAGAGATGTGACCTCTTGCTACACAGCAGCTAGTTTACCATAAAATTAAAACAGCCTCACTGTGTGTTTCTTTTCCCAACTTACATCAAAACAGATGCACCTTCAGAAAGTTCCCAAAAATAACATCTTCTGAAGAAGTATTTCTTTTCCTAAACAACAGCCATGCTAATGTCAGTAACAAAATGTTACTTTACATATGACTGCTTCACAACAATAGCCAGTCTGTGTTTTGAAAATGGAAGGTTTTTAATGTGAAAAAGCAGCAACAGGATGTTGTTCCGTTAAACATGAGCAATTAACACTCCAGCATTAAACTCCCAACTTTTAAACTGGGGCAGACCACCAGCTAACTTGTGAGGAGAGCCTTTCTTAGGTTTTAGGTCATTTTATGTCGACTTATTTTTCTGACCCAGTGTGTTTAAAATAATGTTATGAGACACTCGTCATGACACTGACACTCAGGACAACAGGGAATTATCCACCTTGGATTTAACAACGTGGATGTTTTTGCACAGAGGGAGAGGCGTAAAAATCATCTGGTTTAAGGTAAGACAGGTCTGATTGTGGGGTCATGCTTATGGCTGGTTTGCTGTTTTAAACACTGCGTGTTCTCATTAGCCCAGTTGTTGGTAGCTGTCAATCATGATTAATGTTACGTGAGAGGTATGGCACAGCAGCAGCTGTGGATGGAGGGATCTGGTGTTGTTGGGTCTGTTTCATTTCCCAAAAGGCTAATTTTACTATCAGTCCTGTTTGATACAACTTTGGGCATTGCAGTCAAATAGATGACAGTGATTTTTACTGTAAAATGGCAGGAACTGTATTTTTAATGCAGCATGCTTCTTTTCTGTTAGGATCGTTTAAAAATTTACTAACCAGCAACAGTTGTTTAGTGGAAAAGAAGAAATTAATTTAAATTTTAAAAATCACTTTGAATAAAGGTTGTGAATT